GCTTCCGCCCGCCGAGCCCTCCCTGCCCGCGAGGGGCCTGGCGGGCCGGAGCCGCCGCCGCTGGACTCGGTGCTGCGGTGCCTGCGGAGCGTGGGTGGCGGGGACCTGCCGCTCGGCTACAGGTGACCGCGGGACGGAGAGGGGAGACGAGGCGAGGGGCGGAAAGGGATGAGGGGACGGAGGGGGTGTCCCTTTGGGCCCGGTGCCCGTGCTCGTCCCTCGTGCATGCGCGGCACGTCCCGGCGGGGACGCCCACCCCGCCCCGTTCCACCGTGCAGGGCCCGGCTGCAGCCACGGGCCGGGGGAGCGGAGCCGGCGGGGTCCTGCCGGGAGCTCAGCACGGCGGGTGGGGGGGCTCGTTCATGTGCGATGCCTGCCCCGGATGCTGGGTGTGGGAGGGATGTTGTCGAAGACGGGTAACCGCATGCGTCGTCTTGGCTTCGATGCGCTCCCGATCGCTCTTGCGGTGTGATTAAGCACCGTATCCGCTAGTCTGCGGTAGGTAGAGTGTGTAACCAAAGTAGGGCATCTCGCTGAGAGCGAGTTGCTGTACTGCACAGCGTTTGCACGGCGGCTTCCCGGCTGGATCCTGCTAGTCTGCTCGGCAGGCTGTTCCTGGGCATGGCCTCTGAGGCTGTTGGCCAGCTGAGGTCTGCCTTCGAGTGTGCGCTCTCATGAAGGAGGAATCTAGGATAGTGTGGTCCATATTTTAGTTGGTAGAAGGCTTTTGGGTGATTACCATTATGAAAAACACACAACTTGCTGGGAGAGATTCAGATTGGAAGGTTTGGGTGATCTGGATCTATTTCTCTCTTGCTCCAACTTATGGTGGGAGAATGTCTCTTAAAACCCCTGGCACAGCTGGTTTTGGGACAAAGGTCAATTGGAATTGGTTAGGGACTTGTGGCCTTTAATTTTATACTAATAGTTTATAAATGTAGATGGTAGGTCTTTCACACCAGCTAAACTGTTCTCATCTAAGCCATGTTTTTTCTACAGGCTGTATTTTACCGTGTTTAGACCAGCGTTTGGTTTATATTCAGGGGAATTCGTAGAGAAGAGTTGAAGGTAGTTGGTATTTGTCTTGTATGAGGCCAGTGGTCTGTTTGTGAGCAGCGTACTGCATCCACAGCTAACCATCAAGCTCTGGAGCACCAGAAGAGGGTCCAGTTAGGTCTCTGTATGTGATAACCAGGATCCACTGTACTGCTGTAGTTTTGGTTTCTCCGAAAAAGCAGTCAGCACATATGATGAAAACATGAGCAACGCTGTGTTCTTGTAGGTCATAGATACCAGAATTATTCCCGGTGCTGCTCTGTCTCTGAGGATGGAGCAGTTTGCTTATGTTCTTTTCAGCTAATCTCTCTCCTGTTCAGATTCCTGCCAAATACACAAGTACCTGCATAAGTTTATCTCTTCTGATTAATTTTTTATATAAATACTATTTATAGCTGATTCAGACCCATCACTCGTCTAGACTGGTTTCTGGCTTTGAACCTTTGATACCTGACTAATCAAGTGAAACTCTTCAAGTTCATACTCTCTGAATTTGATTATGTCCTGCTACTGAGCAAGTGGGTGTTGTAAAGCTCCAGTTTCACAACCTAAAATTGTCAGCTAACCTCACTGGAAACAAGTACCAAAATCACTAGCTTGGAGACCAGTTTGTATTTGCTCTTTCAGTGTTGATGTTGGCATGGACAGAGGACTTTCATTAATTCTCTAGCATAGAGAGCCAGGATGTAAACAATGATGATCAATGCTGCCATGGTCATATAAACACTGAAAAGGCTTAGAATCTAGTGAGGATACTGCCTTGTTCTCCCATATTCGGTACTGTGGTCAGTCTAAGCATGATAGATGCTAAATTGCGGACAGCTTCACATGTGGTTGATTTGATGTTGCACCTCCTTCTCCTCAAAGCCAGGAGGGTAGGTGGAAAGATTCAGGGCTAGCTTGGCTGTGTTCTTATAAGTGAAGGCCCAGTTTAAGATTACTGGCTTGCTGTCTCTCAGCTTTGTATTGTGTAAGCTATCCACAGGAGAGAATTTGTTCCAAAACTGTCACGATCTTTATCTAGAAGTTGTCCCTTGCTTTTACTACAGTTCAGCAATTGTAGCACCAAATGATGGAATTAGTCTGTATTTACCTGTGTTCATTACTGATATGTAAACTGTGTTGAGCAGTTGTTGGATTTTTCTCACAGAGTCTCCCATTCAAGCTAAAAATGTCTGAACTAATAACTGTTCTCCCTCTCACCTCCCCCCATATGTACTTGAAAACATGTTCCATTTTATCAACTCTCAATTATTATTTTTTTTTCCCAAGTCTTCCACGTGCCTGCTCAGGTGACCATAGTAGCAAAGGGTGTCTGTTTTCAGAGAGGATGCTCAAGCAGAACTTGTTGACTGAGCTGAGAGAGATCCTTGATAAATGCCAGTGAATGGGTTGATTCTTGCCATGTGATATCATCAGACCACGCCAATAGCTAAGGCTCTTCTGACTTAGCCAAGCTTTGTCTACTGCAATGACCAATGTAATCCCCAAACTTTGCAGACTGAGTTTTTCTTACATCCTTCTATATTCTCGCTTT